CGAAAGAAATTCACAATGTCGTGAACGGAAAGTCTTTATAGCGGTGTTAGTACTTATATTTTATTGATTGATACAGTGAATTATAGTAAATATACCCCTCGACGACTAAACATTATGAATGGAAAAATACATTGAAGTAGCGAGACTATTATTTGTGTTGAAAATAACATTTATTTATTAATTGCACTATAAACTTTCATATGATAAAATCAACATAACATAGAATGTCATGTCAGTTGATTAAAATGTTGATTTTCTGAAAAGAAGCAAGGCAGCCTCAGTTAGAAGATGAAAACAAGTATGCAAATAATAGCCTCGCTACAAAATATGGCAATGTTTCTTTAGACCAGCCGTATAATATATGACAGTCGGAGTCATCGTTGTTTACTCTATACCACGCAATGTGTACGCTGGTATACGTCCATGCACGCAATGTTTGATGTCTATGAATCATTATCGAGGGTATGTTTGACACGGTTTGATAATGCCTGTGTGGCTATCTTGTAGACAGTGTTTAATAATGTAACTGGGCGGCGGTTGTTAAGGTCATCCGCAGAACCACTTTTAAAAATAATGAGCACGTCACGTTGTTGACATGTCAAATGATTTCCACTACCCCCAAATAAGATTGATATAGCCTAGCACTAAAACACAAATATCATGCCAAAAGAAACGATAAAGTTTAACCGTGAGTCCATCTCAACAATACAACAATTCGGGCCATTTCTAGCAGCGCGACGAAGCATTTTTGTTTTGAAAGCACGCCCTCAAAATGCCCCCTTTATATTCCGTGTTTAAACATCTTCTAACAAATTATCTAAGCTGATATTTTTGTTTTGTATAACGCCAAGGAAAAAAACGTTTCTTGACACGAAGAATTTACTTTGTCTGAGTAACATATTTACCTTTACCTGTTTTTTGCGGCTTTCATTTCTTAACCAAAGAAATGCTTTTACTTACTTCAAACTTTTCCACCCAAATATGTACTCAAATAATAAAAGATGAAATTCAATCACGACATTTGTAATTTGGTATAGATTGCTAGCACATAAAGCGGTATAATCTGGAGAGATGTCTCAAAATCCCGGAAGAGTTTTTATAGGGATGTTATAACACTGGCATATTCTTAAATCATAAATCGTTTTTTTTTTCATCAAACATTGTTACTGACATCCTTATAATACAATGTCACACTAATGAAATTATTTATCTATTGCAAGTATTTGTTAATAAGACTTATGTTAACATGCTCTACTTTGATTTAATCACATATTACACCCAAGCTTGAGATTGAACATTCCTACGATTTGGTAATACGCTCATGCATATGAA